GTGCGAGGCCCCAGCAGGTATAGCATCCCATCCCATCTTGACTTGCCTGGTCATACGCTGAATAACGTGTGGCGCAGCTCCCATAATGCCCAATCCGTAAGCGATGGCAGGACCAATGGCAGCCCGCGCTACTTTCCGATACTTAGTGCCCAGGTCCAGAACTCGCTGGAAGTGTCGGCCACGTTTAGACATGGCCTTCACCATACGACGTAAGACCCTAGACTGAATTGGTTTCCCGCACCCACCTCGAACCCAAGAACCTCACGCCAGGAAAGGGCGCGGAAACCAAACCTCCGAAGCCTCCGAGAGACGCGGGGGGCGGTGCGGTCTTGAGACGCCGACAGCATAGCCTTGGACCTGGCCACTGGAAGTCCGAATTCCTGTAGGAGTCACAAAGTAAACCAATGATGTCAGCAGCCTGCCCTTCCAGAACATGCATCGGGGCGATCACCTGCGAGGTGAGGTCGTCAGCGAAAACATCCTACGCGCGCGACGTGCTGACGCAGGTGCTGGCTATGGCGTCAGCCTGAAGTAGGTATTCGTCCAATGCCGAAATCATCAGCAGCTGGACAAACGCCTTCGCAAACTTGCATCCGGGTGAAGCCCCCTGCTCAACGACCACCGAGCACGACGTGGTCTGCAAACAAACCAATATGCGCGGTGCCCTATACATGGCAAGGGCACAAGCCAGCAACTGACGCGGGAAACCATGCCTACGAGCAGCCTCGACCAGGATGGGCCAGGATATGCGGTCGAAACACTTCTCGATGTCCACGATGGCGGTGACCACTCCAAGCCCGTCGGCGAGACCTGCTTCAGCATGCAGTAGGGCACGAGAGGCAACATCCAAGGTGGTCTTGCCAGCCGCCAAGGCGAAGTAAGGACGACATGCGCAAGGAACCGATTTCGCAGCTGCTGGCCTCGAAGGAGGAAGTGGAGATGGAGGTGGAGGAGGAGGAGGAGGAGGAGGTCGAGGAGGAGGAGGAGGAGCATGGGGTGAAGAAGAGGTGCACCTCTTGCGCCCTGAGAAGACCCTCAAGGGGCCCCCTGCGGGCCCAGAAGGGGCACCCCTTGGTGGACGTCTCTCCCGTGGGCCTGCGCCTGGGGGGGAGCCCCCGGGCGCCGAGAGGCCGTCACCGCGCCACGGCGGTTTCTGCTGTGCCTCTCTCTGGGGTCGGCCATACGGAAGGTGGCCCTCATCAGGAAGGAATGGCCTCTGGTGCGCAGGTTGCCGACCGCTGCGCAGCAGCCGGAGATGGCCGCAGCAGAAGCCGCAGCAGAAGCCGCAGCTGTGGCCGACCCCGGAGGTAGCCGCAGCAGAAGCCGCCGTGGCGCGGTGACGGCCTCTCGGCGCCCTCGGGCTGCCCCCCGGCGCAGGCCCAGGGGCGTGCTGTTGGCCGTTTTTTTTTTTTTTTTTTTTTTTTTTTTTTTTTTTTTTTTTTTTTTTTTTTTTTTTTTTTTTCTCTCTGGGGGGCGATAAATGACGAGGAGGGGGGGAGAGAAACGTGCACCTTTCGAGCCCCGTCACCAGGCAAGGGTGACCTCTGGCGCGCAGCTTGCCGACCGTTGCGCACGGTGCGCCAGCAGCGGTCTGCGCGCTCTGCTCTTCGGGCTCCCCCCACCAACCATCGAACCTCCTGAATCGATACGAGGCTGGGGTTGGGTTCTCGGATTTCGCCACGGGCTCCATCACCAACCATCCTGTGGTTTTGGGTCCTCGTTTTGAAGAGACAGCGCTCCGCGTTCCTTCCTTCCTTCCTTCCTTCCTTCCTCTCCTCCTCCTCCTTCTCCTCCGTCTCCTCCCGCTCCTCCCTCCATCCTTCATCGTTATCCTCATCATCATCATCACCACCACCATCACCATTATCACAATCATACTCATAATCATAATCATCGTCATCACCATCATCATCAGCATCAGCATCATCATCGTCGTCGTCATCATCATCATCATCATCATCATCATCATCATCATCATCATCATCATCATCATCATCATCATCATCATCAAAATTAGCATCGTCGTCGTCATCATCATCAGCACCATCATCATCCCATGCGTCCGTGCCATCCATGTCGGCACATCCCTTACAAGGTTCGTGGCCCCATGAGAAGCTCCGCCGAAGGCCCCAGTGGCACAGTTTAGATGCGTCCTCGCCACCCATTTCGGCACACCCCTCAAGTGGTTCGTGGCTCCAAAGGGACTTCCACCGCAGGCCCCAGTGGCACAGTTTACATGCGCCCCACACACACAATTCGGCACATCCCTCACACGGTTCGTGGCCCCATAGGGAGCCGAAGGCCCCAGTGGCGCAGTTTACATGCGTCCCCGCCACACATGTCGGCACACCCCTTGCACGGCTCGTGGACCCATAGGGAGCTCCACCAAAAGCCACGGTGGTACAATTTACATGCTTGGGTCCTCGCTTTGAAGAGACAACACCCGCATCTGCTTCCTTTCTTCCTTCCCGCTGCCCCCCCCCCTCCCCCCCTCCCAGTCCACGTCCTGTCATCACCATCGGCATCATTATCGCCATCACCATCATCATCGCGCCCCCTGCTCTCCACGCGTGCACCATTCCGGCGTGCCCCTCGCGCGGTTCGTGGCCCCATAGGGAGCTCCGCCGAAAGCCCCAGCGGCAGGGATCACACGGCACCGCCGCCTCGATTTCGGCACACCCCTTACACGTTTCGTAACCCCATACGGAGCTCCGCCGAAGACCCCAGCGACAGGGTTCTCATGGCGCCGCCACCTCAATTTCGGGATTCACCTCATGCGGTTCGCGGCCCCGCAAGGAGCTCCGCCGAAGGCCCCAGTGGCAAGATTCGCATGGCGCCGTCGCCTCCATTCCGGGACACCCCATCTCACGTCACGTGGCCCCGTAGGGAGCTCCGCCGAAGGCCCCTGTGGTAGGGTTCGCATGGCACCGCCGCGCCCATGTCGGCACACCCCTCACAAGTTGCGTGGCCCCACAGGGAGCTCCACCGAAAGCCACGGTGGTACAATTTACACGCGTCCCCGCCACCCATTACGGTAAACCGCTCACGCGGTTCGTGGCCCCATAGGGACTTCCACCGCAGGCCCCAGTGGCACAGTTTACATGACTCCCCGCCACCCCTTTCGGCACACCCATCAGACGGTTCGTGGCCCCATCGGGGCCGCCTCGGCGGCGAGCCCTGCGAGGGCCCCCCTCTGCTGCGCCCTCCTCCATGCCGTCCTGGTTTTCCCCTGTTGGGGGGGCACCGTCTGTTGACGCTGCTGCCTGGCCTCGTCGTAGTTGGGCCTGTGTCCTCGGCTTTCTCAGCGGTGGCTCCACTTCGTCTGCGCTGGAGCCTGTGCCAGAGCCTCCATACTTCGTCGATGACAACTGGGGGCCTCTCCACGGTGCTCTCGGCTTGTTCTCTTTCGGGGGGTGCTGGCCTCCTGTCCCTTCTCCGCCGTCTTGTTGAGCTTGCTGATCTTGATCAGCTGGGCGGAATGGTTGTCGGAGGGTCGGCGTAGAAGCTAATGCCGCTGAGCTGGTGCCACGCGCAGGCTCGTAGATGTTTGCGCCGGGCTCGGGTCGCGTGGTGGGTCCCGCCGTTGCGTTGCGTCTGGCACGTGCATGCGTAGTCGCTGCTGCTAACGTCCGTATAGCAGCTCCCAGAAGTCTATGCGCAACCCGTCGCACTTCGGGACGTAAATTTGCGGTGTCGGTATGCTTCCAGAGCGTTTGTGGAAGTTGACGTGAAGTGGCTGCCGCGCCTCGTCTCCTCTGCGCTGCGATCGCAGAACGAGGTGGCCTCTTGAGACGGGGGCCGCGTGGCGACGGAGGTATCTGCGAACGTAGGCTCTCGTAGGGCCTCTGGAATATGGCGATCACGCAAGCATTCTGGGCTGGGGTTGATGAGCTCCAGGGGGCATCTAGTGCTTCTGGACGGGGCCCAAGTGTGGGCGTGCAACGTGCGATAGATGAAACACCTTCCTTCTATCCAAGACCGACGGTGATGAGATTGACAGCATCGAATAGATCCATACACGTGGTCACATACCAAGCAAAGGCTGTCGAATCGTCAGCATTGTCGGGGCACCGTGTCCTGGGAGTGCGGCCGATATTTGATGCGTAATAAGTGCTTAGAACGTGCGGAATTGTCGTGCTCAGCCTTCTATCTTGCAGACGAACGGGTTTGGGCCCCCGGGGTCGCTGTCGGGGTCTCCAAGGGGCTCGTTGGAGGGCATGTCTTAGTACTCAGGAGGGGCCCGACATCTGGCCAAAGCACTGCTTTCTGAGACGTTGACCATGCATATCCTTGAAACTGCTGCAAGCTCCGAAGACGAATGTGCGCGGCGCTACGGCGAGAACCACATGTTGAGAAGGAGCCGCCCTCCATCTATGACGCTCCTGCAAACTCTGGAGACGAGCGTGGGCGGCGCTGAAGCGAGGACCACACTCTGAAAACCGCCCGCCCTCCACCCGCGAAGCTGCTGCAATTCTGAACTCCAGGATCGTACATGGTTCAGGGGGACGTAAGACCTGGGTACAGGGGACTCGGAAATCCCCGACGAGGTCGTCAAAAAAATGACGAGGCCGAGCCTGCATTTTGACGGGGGCCTCCCGCTGCAGACATCCCACGAAACTCCTCCTCGTCAAAATCCGAGGCGCGGTCGTCAAAAAACGATGGCGAACCCGAGTCCTGGCAAACCCGGGTCTTACGCTCCCCCGAATGGTGCGGAGGTCTCTGGCGAAACGCCTGGTCCGCGCGTTCGGCTGGCCGCGGGGGGTGCCACAGGGAGGAATTGCTCCAAAAAGGCAGAGGGATGAGAGGAGGCGGCGGGCCTACTGCCCCAGGAGGGTGGGCCGGCGGAGGAGAAATGAGGGGGACGAGGAGGGGAGGAGGAGGAGGAGGAGGAGGAGGACGAGGAGGACGAGGAGGGGAGGAGGAGGAGGATGAGGAGGGGAGGAGGGGAGGACGAGGAGGAGAAATGAAAGGGACGAGGAGGGGAGGAGAAGGAGGAGGAGGACGAGGAGGCCAGCGGGGCAGTGGAGAGGGGCGACAGAAAGGGGGCGCGACCGGCAGAAACGGGGCGTGCCTGCTGAAGCAGCAGGCACGGGAAAAGCCGCTTGCACACTGCGCGAGCCCCCTCTACCTGCAAGGAGGAAAGACTGGTCTACTCTGTAAGAACGGTTTTTTGAAGGCAGATCTGCCTTCAAAAAACCGTCCCTTCTGAAGCAGCAGGCACGGGAAAAGCCGCTTGCACACTGCGCGAGCCCCCTCAAGCGCCATCGCGGAGCTGCGCTCGGGGGGCGCCCTGGACGTCCCGGACCAGGAGCTGAAGGTCGCGAGCGAATCCTCAGATGCGATGCCCGCACGTAGGATCACACTAATATATTGGAGGAAAAAAAAAAGAGATGCCGCAAACATGCTCCAAAGTTGCCAAACGATCTCGAAGATCGCCCCCGACCATTTCTGGACTATGTTCTAAGCATTCCTCCCGTAGAGGGACGCGCCCGACCTAACACCGCACCCCTGGGAGAGCAGGGCGGAAGAGACGCTGGACGCCCACGGCACCGCGTGCCACTCTGCCACGAGGGGGCGGGTGGCCCTCTCAGGGAATCGGGCCCTGGACCCCGGGGCGGGGCGCCCTCCGGGATCGCCCGCTCGCCCCGGCCAGCTTCTGTCAGGGGCAACGATACGGGGGGGGATCGGATTATTTTGCTCCCGTCCTACTTACGGACCACATCCCAGAAATGAGTTCGAGCACCCCGAAAAGTGTCAAAAAGAGTGTCGAAACAGTGCCGAAACAGTGTCGGGCGAGTGCCTCCCAGGGCCCGACACGTGAGAACCCTTGAATTTCGGTACTCTTTTGGGCGCTCGACATTCTTCCTGGTGGTCAAGGCGAAAGCAGGTTGGAGCATCATAAGGATAGGATAAGGGGGTGGACGCATCGACCCCCGATCGCCCATCGATCGCCGATAGGGGTCCGATAGCCCCACCCCGCCCAGGAGCGTAGGCCTGTCGCCGATCTATCGGCGATGTATCGCCCACTCCAGGTCGATGTTCCCCGCCTGAGATCCGTCGTTGCGCAACAAACTGCAACATCGCACAAAATCACGACCCGAGTCCCGAACCCCATCTTCCTGTGTAATTTTTCCAGCCGGATCGATCTGTGAGGGTCCCGGGGCCCGAAGTGGAGCGAAAACGCCAGCAGCGACAAAAATGCGACGCCAGGATCTCAGGGCCCCACCCCTATGCTTATCCCCCCCCCTATCGTTGCCCCCGATTCTGGCTGGCCCCCCCGGAGGACGGGGGAGGTCGGGCGGGGGCGCGCGAACATGGATTAGCGATCCATGGACTTGGCGCGCGGTCGCCAACTCCATGGATTGGGGGAGGTGCCCTCCCCAAGATGCGGCCGGTGCCGCTCCGCTCGGCGGCGGACACCCGCGATCGGGAGGGCGGAGGGAGGGCATGGAAACGGGACCCGTCGCCGGCCCACGCCCCCCGAGGCCTGACGAGGGACCAGGGGGGCGCGAGGCCTGACGAGGGCCGCATGTTTGCGGTCGCCTGGCGAGGGCCCCGAGGCCAGCAGCACGACGCAGGCCGCCACGGGGCGCCCCGCTGCCTCGCGCCGCGCGAGCGCTGCGGCAGTCGCCCGCGGCTATCGGGTGCCTCTGGGCCGCCGCCGCAGCCGCGGAGGGGCGCGGGCCGCGCGCCCCCTGGTCAGGGCGCGGCAGGACGGACAAAAACGGAATAGGGCGCCTCCTCCCCCTCCTCCACTCTCCTCCTCCTCCTCCTCCTCCTCCTCCTCCTCCTCCTCCTCCTTCTGCTTCTACTCCTTCCCCACTTCCTCGTCCTCCTCCTCCTCCTCCTCCTCCTCCTCCTCCTGCTCCTCCTCCTCCTCCTCCTTCTCCTGGCAGCGGGGCCCCGGAGACCCCGAGTCCGGGGGGATCTCCGGGGCGCTCGGCGCGCGGCGCGGGCCCTTTCCCGCAGGCCGCCGCCCGCCCCGCCCCCACTGTGCGTGGCCGCGAACGCGGCGGAGAGGTTGGGCACCGCCTCGACACCTCCCGGCCGGGTGCCAGACCGCCCAGAAGGTCTGGGAGGCTTGGCCCCCGGCCGGATAGCCGCCCTGCTCCTCCAGCTCGGGCGGCAGTTCGGCGCTTGCCTGCGCGCAGTCAGTCGCCGCCGCCCAGCGCCGGCGCCGCCGCCCGGCCCCCCGCCGCAGCAGCCCGGCCAGCTCCCGCAAGCGCCCGGCGCCCTCCTCCGCCGGCAGCGTCGCCGCCCCGCGCAGCGTCCCCGGCGGCCGCCGGCGCCAGCGCCGCCCGCGCCGCCCGCGCCGCCGCCGCCTGGCCCGCCTAGCGGGTCCTCGCCGTGCTCCGCGCCGGCGCCGCAGGCCGGCGGGCGCACGCCTAGCTAGCGCGCGGGCGGCGCGCCGCCGGCTCGCCGCCGCCAGCCCCGCGGCGCACCGCCCCGCGTGCAGCGAAGCAAGCGGAGCGGAGCGCCTCGGCGTTGCCCCGCTGAAGAGTCGCCGCGAGGCTCTGGCGCGCCGCCGCGAGCGCCTCCGCGTCTCCGCGCGCCCAGGTGCGCAAGAGCGCCTGCGCCTCCTTCCCAGCGCGCCCGAGGGCCTCCAGCGCGAAAGCCGTCAGCGCTGGTCCCGGGTAGCGCGCGTGCTTGCGCTCCTCCCAGGCAGCGGCAGCGGCGCCGTCCCGGGCGGCGCGGCCCCGGCCCGCCGGCGTGTTCGCGCCGAGAGAGGCGTCAGTAACCACCACGTCGACGTAGGCAACGCCGACCGTGGGGTCTGTGAAGGCCACGTCGAGGCGAGCGGCCTCCACGGTGCCGTCAGGGCGCGCGCGGTCCCAAGCGGGCACGAATTGCTCCGTGGCCACGCCTGTCGCGCCGCGGGCGCCGAGCCAGCGGGCGAGCCAATCCCGGACGCCGTCGTGGCGCTGGATCGTGCCGCCGCCGACGTGGCAACCCAGGCAGTGCCCCACCGTCAGGTCGGCCCCGCAGCGCGTGCCGTCCTCCCTGCACCGGCAGCAGGTGGCGCTGGCGGTCGCTGGCAGCGGCAGCTGGAGGCGCAGCGCGAGGGCTGGGAGAAAGTGCGCGTCCGCCAGCACGTGGTCCTCCGCAGCTGGCGGCTGGAGCCAGCTCCCCGCTCCCTTCCCGCTGGCCGAGCGTAGCTGCGCTGCCCGGTCTGGTGGCAAGGAGCCCAGGAGCCGCTGCCGGCGCGCGTGCTGCTCCGGCGCCGCGAGGGCGCGCTGTGCTTTCGCCTGTGGCTCCGCGGCGGCGCGCAGCCAGGTCGCGCCGCGCACCTGGAGAGCGCGGCCCGCCCCCTCGGCCGCCCCCCACGCAGCCGGGCAGGCGAGCTGGAAAGCCTCGAGGCTGGAGAGTCCGAGCTCACTGCAGACGCCCGCCAGGCACGCCTGCCAAGCCCCCACGAAGGCGGGCAAGCGGCGGTGCGCGAGGCCCTGCAGCCCGAGCCCGCCGCCAGCGCAGGGCAGGAGGGCCAGGTCGCGCGCGTCGTCTGGCAGAGTCTGGTGCCCAGTGAGCGGCCGCAGGATCTCGTGCACGTGGCCGAGAACCGCCGCGTCGTACGCCTGGCACCATGCCTCGTCCAGGAGGTGCGCTCGCGCGTGGTGCAAGGCCGCGCCGTTGGCGAAGGTGCGGAGCAGGACGAGCTCGTCCTGGGCGCGCAGCCCGTGCCCTCGGAGCCGGCGGAGGGCCGCGAGGTAGGCGTCGAGGTGATCTCGGGCCGCCTGCGGAGCGGCCGTCGGCGAGAAGCTCGCCCTCGCGGGGTCGGCGCCCGGGCCTGCCCCCGCCGCGTTGCGCACGTGGGGCAGCGTGCTTCCCACGCACGTGAGGTCGGGCACTGCTGCCCTCGCCAGCGGCCCTGGGAGAGGCAAGTCTCGAGGGTTCCACACCTTGGTCTTCCGCGCGCTCAGGCGGAGGCCGCGCGCCGCCAGAAGCGCTGGCGCCGCGAGGAGCGCAGGCCAGTGCGCGCGGGCTGCCCACGACGTACACGTCGTCGAGGTAGGCCACCACCCTGGCGCCGGGGTCTTGGCGGCGCGCCGCCGCCTCCAGGTCCTCGTAGAGAGTCGCCGCCGCCAGCGCGAAGAACGCCGGGGAGAGGGGGCAACCCTGGTCCACCCCGCTCTCCGCCCTGACCGGCGCCGCCCTGGCCCCGGGAAGGCAGGCCCCGTGCGTGGTGGCCCTGCCGTACCACGCCTGCGCCAGCCGCGAGAGCTCCGGCAAGCGGCCAGCGACCTCCCGCAGCAGAATGTCCCGGCAGAGCTCGTTGAACGCGTTGGCCACGTCCAAGGAGAGCACCGCGGCGCCGGAGTCCTGCTCCAGCGCGGTCGCCGCGATGCGGTGCATCAGCTCGATGCCGCTTTTGCGGCCCACGCCAAACTGGCAGCGACCCACCGCTGCGGCGATGGCTCCCTTGTGCGCCGCCGCGGCCGCCTTGGCCGCCATCCGGCGCAGCGTCTCACCGCAAGCCAGCGGCCGCGCGCCGCCTCCCGGCTTCAGCAGCGGCAGCAGCCGCCCGGCGAGGATGGCCTGCATGGCCTGCTCCGGCACCCGGCCCTCCAGGATGAGGACGAGCACCTGCGCGAGCGCCTGCTTCCCCTCGCTGTGCCCGCGCAGAGCCGCCCAGTGCTCGAAGCGGGCGCCCGAGAGGCCTGGGCCCGAGTGGCGCGGGTACTTCCCGAGGCTGCCCGCTGCCTCTTCGGCCGCGTCGCCCTCCCAAGGCTCGGTGGGCCGCGCTGCGGGCGGCGGCGGCGGCGGGCGGTCGGCGGACGCCGCCGGCGGGAAGAGGGCGGCCAGGTCTCGAGCCACCCCGGGCCCTTGCGCCAGCTGGCCCGGCCCCGCGGCCGCCGCAGCAGCGCGGCCGACCTCTCCGAGCATGATGAGCTCATGCACCCGCCGGGCCACTTCTTCGGGTTTCCGCTGGCCCGCGCGGTCCTCGACCAGTTCCCCGGGTCGCGCTGTCGCGGCCCACAGCGCCGTCCAATCGCCAGCCCAGGCCTGACGGAGGCGGCACGGAAGCACCTTAGAGGCCGAGAGCTGCTCGTCACTGCTGCTGGCGGGGGGCACCGCGAAGAGCAGCCGCGGCAGCAAGAGCAGCCGGGCCCACGCCGCCTCGCTCGCGGGGTCCGCCGCGACTGCGCGCAGCGCCGCGGCGAGCACGTCCGCGACCGCTGCGGCGAAGGCCGGGGGCGTCGCTGTCCACGCGGGCACCGGCTCCCGCAGGGCGCCGTGCAAGTCGAAGCCCGCCCACCACTCCAGCCCAGGGAGCTCGCCCGCCTCTGCCGCCAGCACGTGCCGCGGCTGGGGGTCGTTGGCCGGCGCGTCGTCCGCCTCTGGCTGGGCAGCCCCTGGCGCCAGCGTCGTGCAGGCGAGTATCTCCATGCGGCCCTCCTCGGGTAGTGCCGCCAAGCCCTCCACGGACCCGTGCGGCACACCGCCGGCGATGCATGCCGGGTGGCGGAAATACCTGTCAGGATTCGCCCTGCTCGCCAGGCGGACCGCCCCGGCGCGAAGCCTTCGCAGCACACGCAGCAGGCCGCCACGTGCTTCCGGGGCGCCTGTCGGCTGGCCACCCAAGTGCGCACTCGTGGAGGGCGCTGGGTAGCGGCGGCAGGCGGAGCAGCGGAGGCGGCAGCGACAGCGGCGCCTGCGGCGCTCTCCAGGGCAGCAGCGGCGCGGGGTGCGCCGCCAAGGGGGGCTGCTCCGGAAGGCGCGGCAGCAGCCGCTCCGCCCACGTCCTCGTCGTCCCCCGCCGCCATCCCGACGTCGACATCGACCTCCATGGCGCGGGAGTTGGGGAAGGAAGGCGGGGGTGGGGAAGTGGAAGGGCGGGTGAGGAGAGAGGCAGCCGGGCAACGGCTGCGCGCGATTTGAGTCTCCTCCTCCTCCTCCTCCTCCTCCTCCTCCTCCTCCTCCTCCTCCTCCTCCTCCTCCTCCTCCTCCTCCCCCTCCCCCTCCTCCCCTTCCTCCTCCTCATCCTCCCCCTCATCCTTCTCCTCCTCCCCCTCCTCCCCTTCCTCCTCCTCATCCTCCCCCTTGCCCCGTGCTCTCCGCCCTCAAAGCGGGGCAGGACGGAAAAAAGGGGGCGCCGATATCGCCCGGGGGCCGTGGCCTCCTGCAGCAGAGGCGCCGCGCGTCCCCCCCTCTGGCGGCGCACACAAGGGGGCAGGAGGAGGGGGGAAGGCTCCTTAGAAGGAGGCTCCTTCTTTTACAAGGCGCCGGCCCTACATCTATAGACAAGGCCCGCGCCTCCTAAGAAGCAGGGGTGCTTCTCAGAAGCCTTCCCCCCTCCCCCCACCCCCCTCTGCACGTGGCCGACCCCTCCCCCGTCGTTTACGGTCAGGAGCTTTTGCGTAGCGTGTCGCGGCGGCGGCGGCAGCCCTGGCGACATATTATGCGCTGCGGGCTGACAGCGTGGCAGCCGGCGTTTTTGCAACGGGCGTTTCTGCCCAATCTCGGGTCCAGGGATCATCACGGATCGATCTGGCTCGGAAGCTGCCACAACAAGATAGGGTCTAGGGCTCCGCGCGTGAGTTTCCAGAATGCTGCAAATGTCTTGCAAAGTCGGATCTCAGCCCTGACTTCGGATCCGCCGTACTGTAGCACCCCGCAGTTGCGGATAAGACTGAGGGGGCGGCGGGGACGTCGGCAGTAGGAAGCCCGCCGCAGGCGCAAAGTTTTCAAGCTATACGACGAGCCCGCTGCAATGTGGGTGGGTCGCGGATTGGGTCGCAAGTGGGTCGCGGGCCGGGTCGCGGGTGGGTCGCGGGTGGGTCGCGGGCCGGGTCGCGGGTGGGTCGCGGGTGGGTCGCGGGTGGGTCGCGGGGTGGGTCGCGGGTGGGTCGCGAGCGGGTCGCGGGGTGGGTCGCGGGTGGGTCACGGGTGGGTCGCGGGGTGGGTCGCGGGCCGGGTCGCGGGCCGGGTCGCGGAGGGGACGACGCAACAAAACAACAACAAGAATCCTCGCCGTGGATCCCCACTTCAGCCACGCACCCAGGGACAGTGAATGACCGTTCGGGCCCCCTCGCTCTGACTTTGGTTGGTTTTCCTGCCCAACACTGTGGTTGAACTACAGCCCAAGCGATGCGAAACAAGCAGGAAGGACATCTCCGCCCCAGAGTAGCGGGGCGGACCTTCTCGCGAAGGCACTTCGGAAACAGCGAAGGCGGCAAGAGGAGGGCAGACATCGGCATCAAAGGAGCTGGATTTGCGAAACCGCCCAGAAGTGCGGCGGATCCGAAGTCGGGGGGGTCTCCCACGAGCGTGCGGTCAGGAACTGCTGCTTCGCGTGCATCGCCGCGGCGGGCCTGTCGACGCGCCACATGCCCTGCAGCCGGAGAGCGCGCCGCTCCGCTCTGCGAGGCGGGAGGCTCGGAAAAGGCTCAGGACGTTGACGCCTGGGGACTGGGAGGTGGACAGCGCGTCGCGCTCGCGCCGCAGCGTGGCGGGCCAGAACAGGCACCGCGACACGCCAGGCCAAAGCTCCCCACCGTAGCAGCCTGGATGCGGGGAGTGCGCTGAACAACTCCACCGCGGAGGCAGACACCCAGGACGTCCCAAACGATCCCGAGACCAGAAACCTGAACGGCAAGATGGCCTCGAACTCGTGTGCGGATGTGAAGCGACACGCTATCCAGCAATTCCCGACTGAAATCGGGGAGCAAATGAATTGCAAGTCTGGGCCTCGCGCCGACTTCTTGGATCGGCGCTGGACCCCCCTTCTCTGCCGCGCGGAGCGCGCCAACGGCAGCGCCAGAGGCGCCGCCAGGGGGCCCCAGCGCCGCTAGGAGAAACCCGCGCGGACCTCAGAAATGTTATGTTTACGAAATCTTGACCCCCGATTATCGGAGGCGACGATAAGGGCGAATATCCGGGGACGCCGATGGTCCATGTCCTCGGCCAGGCTTTCCAACAAATACGTGTAATGCCCGCCCCTGGGCTATTCGCACCTATCGTCGCCTCTGAGATTACGGTTGGCTCGTCGATCTTTGGACCAGAAATCAGACGACACCACCCAACCTACGACCCAGCGATGTTGAAAGTTTAAGCACGTGCTCACCTACGACCACCTACCACCCACCTGCGACACCACCCTCCTGCGACCCACCTACGACCAGGCGGGTCGTGGGAGGGATGGTGTCGATTCGGGGAGACGTAAGACTCGGATTCGGGGGACTCGGGTTGGCCTGACGGGGCCGTCAAGAAAACGACGAGACCCCCTCTGAAACTTGGCGCGAACTCCCGCTGCAGACCTCCCACGAAAACTGGGCCATCAAAACTCAGGGCGGGCTCGTCAAAAAGCGCAGGGCGAACCCGAGCTCCGGGGAGCTCGAGCCTGGGCGCACCATGGGAATAGGGGGAGGGGGGAAGTCCTCTTAGAAGGAGGCTGCTGCTTGGAAGGCGCTGGCCCTACATCCACAAACAAGGCCCGCGCCTTCTACGAAGCGGAAGTGCTCCTCAGAAGCCTCCCCCACCCCTCCGCCTCCGCCTCCTCCTCCTCCTCCTCCTCCTCCTCCTGCCCCTGCCCTCCTCTGCGCGTGGCCGATCACGTTCTTGGTCGACTCGTGGCTCGCCTGCTGCCCCCCCCCCCCCCCTACTCGTGGCTCGTCTGCTGCCGGCACGCGGCGGCGGCCGCGTGCGCGCGGTTCCAGCGCGCGGCGGGGCGCGGCGGGCGCTCTCGCCGCGCGCTGCCGCCCCCCACCCCCTCCTCCTCGTCCTCTGTCCTCATTGCCCTCCTCCTCATCCTCCTCCGCCTCCTCCTCCTCAGCCTCTCCTCTCCTCCTCTCTCCTCCTCCTCCTCCTCTCCTCCTCCTCCTCCTCCTCCTCCTCCTCCTCCTCCTCCTCCTCGCCCGCCTACTCCCCCAGCTCCCCACCACGGCCACGATCTTGTGGCCGCGGTGCCGCTGGGGGGCTGCGCCTGATGTCCTCGATCAGCAGCTGCATGTCGCGCATGACGCTTCTCTGGTGTTGCTTAAGGATGTCAAGCACGGCGATCATGTCGATGTTCCTTGCAGCTCCTTTGAGGCGCCCGATGCCAGCGACGAACTCGTCGAGAGTTACCTCGTCCGCGTCGCCCGCGATCAGCATGAAAAGCATGTCGGGGTCGGAACAGCGGAGCTCCATTGCCTCCAGATACGTACGTATGAAATCCTTCTTCAGCAACTGGTTGAGCTCCTTGCGGGTCAGCGTGCCAGAGAAGTCGCTGTCGCCGATCCGGAACAAACGGCTGATGGTCTGTCTGTGGTGATTCATCTGTCGGATCCGCTTTCTCACCATGATGAACTCGTCGTTCTGGGCCACCGAGAACGTCTCCTGGATCCGCCGGCACCCCTCCTCCTGGGGCGCAAGACGGCGAGGCGCGATGCCGGACGGAGGCCCTGCTTTGTGTGGCCCGGCCCGGACACCCCGAATAGGGAGCAAACAAATCCACCCTCACAATTTGCAGCCCGACGAGCGAAGCCATTTGTCAACGTTTTCTCATTCGGCGTTGCGAAATTGGGAGGAAAGGGGGGGGGGGGGGTCTGGCTCTGGACCTCTGCTTAGTGCGACTGTTTGCAGCAGTGCGTCCTATGGGGGGAGACTCCACCTGCTCGAAACAGGCGCCAAAAAAACATCCAAGATCTACTGCATGGGAGGGGGGACGGGGGGGGTACAAGGGCCCGCGCCGATCGGCAAAGCAATGAATAAGAAAACGATCACTTTCGTAAACGCACCCACGGAAGGAACGGAACAGGGAGGGGTTGCTTCGAAAACGCCCAAGGCCGTTTAGCAAACGCAACTTATCGGAGTCGGGGTGTTTTTCCCTCCCTGGATTGAACCCCAAAATGTTGGGATCTCTCCGGGGGGGCGTCGTTTGCTTCCGCTGGACTACGCCACCACTCCGCTAGCTTCCCGCCGGCGAGGCCGTCCCCGTCTTGCCTCCGCCAGCTTCCACTGCCCCTTCGCTGGGGAAGAGACGCCAACTTCTCGATCCCTCGAAGGCAGAGCCCTTTTCTGGAACGCCCCATGTGTGCTGTCTTATACTTGCGGACTTTACCTCTTCAGTCCCCTCTGCCTCCTGGTCGCTCCATGTTGCTTTAGGTAAGGCATGTCCCCCTACAAGCGTTTTTTTACGCAAAATCAAAATAATCATGATTATTTTGATTAGAAGGCTCTGCCTAGAAAGGTTCTTACTCTCTTAGCTTAAAGGGGCCGGGCAGTGGAACACGCCCCGGGCGGTTCCCCCAGTCCCCTGGGAGCGGTTCCCCCCAGTCCCCTGGGAGCTTTAGCTTTAGCTTAGCTTTAGCTTAGCTTAGCTTAGCTGTAGCTTAGCTTTAGCTTAGCGTTTCGCTTAGCTTTTCGCTTAGCGTTTAGCTTAGCTTTAGCTTAGCTTTAGCTTAGCTTCAGCTTAGCTTTAGCTTAGCTTTAGCTTAGCTGTAGCTTAGCTTTAGCTTAGCTGTTGCTCAGCGTTAGCTTAGCTTTAGCTTAGCTTTAGCTTAAATTTAGCTTAGCTTTAGCTTAGCGTTAGCTTAGCTTTAGCTTAGTTTTAGCTTAGCTTTAGCTTAGCTGTGGCTTAGCTTTAGCTTAGCTTTAGCTTAGCGTTACTGTTACTACTAATGCTGCTTTCCTAGGCTTTCCAACTCCTAGGTAGGGTCGCACTGGGATAATTTTGTTTACGCAAAATCAAAATAATCAAAACATGCTCAACAATAGTCAAAAATGGTAGAATAGTCGTCCCCATACGATTTGTTGACTATGTTTGAACATTGCTCCTGTAGAGGGACGTGCCCGACTTAAATGTTGCTCCCCTCAGCCTCCTGGTCGCCTCCTGGTCCCCTCGGCCTCCAGATCGCTCCTGGTCGCTCCATGCCAGGGCTGGACCAAAACGTTGTTTTTCGCGTTGTGCTCGCATTGTGTTTCGTTTAGCTCCACCTGTTTTCCTGTACCTCCCTGCCGAAACGAAAAACAAAACACAGCCGAAGTCCAGCAAAACAGCGTTTAGGTCCAGCCTTGCTCCACGTTGCTCCAGAATCTCGGCAGGGACGCCACCAGACGGCGCCCCCGTGGAGACTTCGAGGCAAGAGGGTGAAGAGGCCCCAGGGGTACCTGGGGCCCCTCCTGGTCTCCGCGTCCAGAGACGTGGCTGAAGAGGCACCTGGACACGCAGTCCTGGTGTCTGCGTCTGCCTGTTTTATTCGGACGTGAGGAGGCGTCAAACCCTAACTCCCCGGAAAGAATCGAAGCAGAAGGGCGGCGCGAGCTGCTAGCAGGCCAGCCTTGAAACTAGACCGGTGAAGTCTCCCAGAGGAGCCACAAGAGGAAGAAACTGTCCTTGCGCCGCTGTGCGCTCTCTTCTGCCCTTCTGCCTCTGGCACTACTCCAGATCCTGCTGCCGAAGGACGACGTTGCCCGAGAGGCGCTCGAGGCTTTCGAGAAAGGAAAAAACGGAATAAGCATGAACTTGGATCTGCGCTGGATTTGTTGGGGGATTCGCCGATCGAGTGAGGAGGCAGCTCATTTCCTTATTCCCCTCGAGGCTAAACCTGGATCTGCGTTGGAGGTCCGCGCGGACTTCTTGGGTCTGCGCTGGACCCCCCCGTCCGACGCGCGGAGCGCGCCAGGGGCGGCGCCGGATGCGCCGCCAGGGAGGGGCCCAGCGCCGATACGAGAAATCCGCGCGGAGCGCCACATGACGATGGGGGCGAATACATTGGGACGCCGATGGTCCATGTCCTCGGCCAGGCCTTCCGACAAACGCGTGTAATGCCCGCCCCTGGGCTATTCGCCCCTATCGTCGCCTCTGAGACTACGTTTGGCTCGTCGCTCGTCACCGCTGAGACTACGGTTGTGGCGTGGTTTCTTCGACACTGGGGGGGGAGGAGGAGGAGGAGGAGGAGGAGGAGGAGGAGGAGGAGAGAGGGGAGGAGGAGGAGGGAGAGGAGGAGGAGGAGGAGGGCGAGGAAGCGGCCCGAAGAGACCTCCACAGCGGCCCGAGGAGGCCCCGAAAGGAGAGCCTCGCGAGCCCCTGGGCGGCTGAAGAGGGCCCCGGGAGGGCCTCTAGAAGGTGGCCAGGCAGGGTCCTTCAGGGCACCCCGAGAGGTCAGCAAGGAACGGCAACACATACTCCTCCTTCCTCCTCCTCTTCCTTCCTCCTCCTCCTCCTCCTCCTCCTCCTCCTCCTCCTCCTCCTCCTCTCCTCCTCCTCCTCCTCCTCCTCCTCCTCCTCTCGTCCCAGTGCCCCCCACCAAATGGAAAGCGTAACACACTGCTGAAAAAAACGTCATGGCTTCGATGCGTTTGGCCCGTGCCACACTTTGCTCCAACGATGTCCCGGCATCGCTTCAAGACGCCCTCCAGGGCCCCCGGGATCGCCCACGACGACCCCACGCAGACACCCAAAGACGTCAAACTGCCACCGATATCGCCCAGAATGATCCGTCAAGGCCACAACAAGACTCCAATATGGCACCAAGATAACATGGCCCGAAGGTGACCCTGGAGGCCACAAGATGCCTTCGATAAGTCCAAAATATTGACCCAATGCTTTCATAGTCACAAGATGGTTCAGCCTGGGTGGTCGGCGGCAGAGGGCGCAGCCCTTCAGATAAAGACGCCGTTGATCACGCCGATCACCTCATAAAAGATGGAAATACGCCACCCTGACATAGGTTGGCATCCGAAATGGGGGCCATCCAGAATAGGGGCCAAAGTGCTCCACAACGCAATTCAGTCACCGTGGTCAGGCGACGCACCGTACCGAGTTCGGGCCGTGCCAATTGCGGTGGTCGCTGGACGCTAGGACCACCCGTATGGCATCACACCTGGTTGCTGGTCTGTGCGTCTGGGCATGATTGCTGGCCTCCGTCGGGGTCCTGGGCACGATTGCTGGCACTGGGCCTGGGCATGACGGTCAATGCTGCCGTTTGGGCTCCTTGGGTTCGGTCGGGCCACTCGCGGCGAGCTCCCCGCTCGAAGCTTTTAACAAAAAAGCTCGGTCGAGCTGGGCTGTTTGGCGTCCGCGTCGCGGCCCCGACACGCTCCCGGACGTGCATCGCCCTCGCAGGTTCGCAGGCCCAGTTTAGGCTGGTCCAAGTGGGGTGCGGCTGGTTCGCGTCGTGTCGACCCCGAAGTTGGTCTCTGACACTGCGGGGATCGTTCAACCTTTAACGATCGGCCGCTGCCGCAACGTCCGATCGTTCAACATCGATCGATTCTGGGTCGCCGGCGGCGTTCAACCTTGAACGCCCGCGCTGGGGTCGCCGCCAGTCGACACGACGCGAACCTACCGTGCCCGATTTCACCTCCCTTCCTCTTTCAGACGCGCCACCGCCCTGTGGCCTCCCGCGCGCTTCCTCACGCAACTGGGCGCTTGAGCTGCCGAGTGTCTCCCTGCCCGCGGGGTTCCGGTGACCTCTTTGTCGGGTGGGCCCACGGCCTACCACCTGAGTAGGTTTTCACCTCTTGCTGCGCGTTGATGAGATTTCTTCTCAGGCACTGTCTCTTCCCAGGCGCTCGCAGCTAACTTTACGTCGCACCTGATGCGAAGGGGGAAGGAGGATTTGTTGACGGATCCTAGTTCATTGACATACGTTCGCCGTCGTCGAGGCGCTGGTGGCCATCAATGAGAAGCACTTCGATCACGTGTGCGTGTGCCTCGTACGTCAGGTGGCGTACTTACATCTTTTATACACGCCAATCACCGCAAAACCGATCGAGAGCTTATAGAACACGACGAAGCAACCGAATGCCTCATGAACATCCTCCATGAGGAAACGGCAGACGGTGGGATAGTTCGCCAGCATGAGCTCGAACATGGTCACCATCGAGCGGGTGTACGTGCCGAAATATCTGAACAGTTGCACCTGGACGTCCCCCGACAGCGACGACCCCTCCGAGAGCCAGCCGTACCGCAGGACCTGGGTCAGCATCATCGCAAACATGGTCTGGATCAGGAGCAGGAGCAAGATGGAGAACACGAGCGCCGTCGCGCTACCCCGTATGGACGTCGTCATGAGGTGCAGCGGGTCCAGCGAATTGACCTTCCGCACCAGCCGCACCAGCCGGAGGAGGCGCACCAGGCGGAATATCCGGAAGAATCGTGCGTTGGACATGGGCCCGTCGCCGACGCCGACGAGGAGCGCCAAATTGGACGACACGACGATCACCAGGTCCAACCAATCCCATGGGTTCGTCCAGAACGGATGCCGGAAATAGGCCCCGAGGCCGAGCAGCCTGTTCCAGACGTCGTAGGAGAATGTCAAGACCAGCTCCACGGTGAACATCAGGGAGAAGGCGCAATCGATGGCGAAGAAGGCCGTGTTCGCGCTTGGCCACCACGTCTCCATGTACTCGTCTGAGCCGTACTCCCTGTAGGCACCGATGCGGTTGCCAGAGCGGATACCCGTCCACTCCTCTTCCAAGATCATGGTGCAAGTGTTCACCATCACGACTGCAGCCCAGAATACCTCGTAGCGCGCGTTGCCAACGATGCCCCGGAGCCAGCGGAAAATCCGGGAGGCGCTCTCGGTCTGCTCGCTGGCCGCTCCGAGACCCATGGAGCTCGGGAGGTTCGATCGGCTGCACCGCATCTGCCACAGTACACGCTGGTCCTGGAGAGCAGCAAATCATACACATACATTATGAGAGGCCTGCACGGATTTCTTGGGTCGGCGCTGGACCCCCCTCCCCGGCGTGCGAGGGCGGCGCCGGAGGCGCCGCCAGGGTGGGTCCAGCGCGGATCCATGAAGTCTGTGCGGGCATCCGAGAAATCATGCCTGTGCAGCATCTGCATTTATTTCAAGGCTTCCTGAATGGGGTCCGAGTTGATGAGGTCGGAAGATCGCGCCGCATCGCCGTTGTATCGCCGATGTGTCGCCGATGCATCGGCAACATCGGCGATGCATCGGCGACGTCGGCGTGAAGGACATCGGGCTAGACATCGCGCCGCATCGCCGATGCATCGGCCGGCCTCGTCTACCTGGACCTCACTTGGGAGTCTCAAGCCCTGACATCTGCCGATGTGTGTTTTCTTATCCGCGGCACCAGAGGTCCCGACCACTTCCCCAAGGGTAATTCCTCGTCCCTGGTCCGTTTTTGATGGTCTTGGGGCCCGATAGTGGCACCCGGAGGCCGAAGTCGAGGAAGATCGCTCGGATTCAACAAAAAAACGAACCGTCGGCCTGGAGCGCTCGGAAGCGCTTGGGAAGCGCTTGGGAGCCCCTGGGCGCGCCTGGCGAGCGCCTGGGACCGCCCTGGGGAGCGCCTGGGAACGAGGCAAGAAGGCACCGGCAGTACACCAACGCCGATCCTGGCCAGGATCGGTGTTGGTGTGAAGTTGGTGCCCTCCGACGAGGTCCTCTGCCCACCCCGCAGTCTTCGAGGACGAGGCGCACGACAACATGCTCTGGCGCATGCGCGACGGCTCTGGCACCGGGGCCTCTGCCGCCTCGCTGGGGCCTCTGGCCCCAGAGTGCCTCGGGGACTGGCACGGCCCCGTCTCGGAGCCGCTGTGCTCAGAGGCTGGATACTCCTCGGGGCGGCAGGACCTTCCCGAGACCCAGGCATCCGGCGCCTCGAAGGTCTCGAGACGGAGGTTATTCGTCGTTTTCGGCCTCTCGGGGCCCTTGCGGGTCCTCGGGAGCGTCAAGACAGGGCTCTGGAGGAAAACCTGGTCCTTGGGAAGTGGTCGAGAGGGCGGGGTGTCTCGAACAGATCGAGACGCCGGATGCCTGGGTCTTGGCTCCCGACCCTTTCCCCGGGGCCAGTGCCTCAACCCGCGGATCGATGTTTGACGCTCCCGGGGCCCGTCGCGAGGGCCCCGGGAGGCCGAAAACTGCCGAACAACTTCTCGCAGCGTTTCTGTTTCAGGGCACGGGCACGTCTGGGCCTGGTGAGCGCGCTCTTGGCCCAGGGCCCTCCGCAGACGTCTCCTCGAGGCATCCCGAGGCCATCTTGGCTCTCGACTTGGCCATCCCGAGGCCATCCCGAGGCCATCTTGGGGCCCGAGGCCATCTCGAGGCATCCTCGAGGCCTCGCAGACGTCTCCTCGGCTCTTGGCGAGCCGGAGGCCGACGACTCGGGACGCAGAACGGGCCCTGGAGAACGGGTCGTCGTCCGTTTTTTCCCCCTGGGGCCAAATATCTTGCGCCCCACATCTGCTTTGAAATGGATTGCCTCGGGGTCCGATCACCGGGGCCGGAACCGAGGAAGATGGCAAAACATCAGATGGGGGGGGCTCTCCGTGTCACTGCGATCTCACCCCCCCAGCCTCGCATTTTAGACTCGAGAAGTTGAG